TTCATTCCTGTATCAGGGAAGAAAAGGCTTGCTTACACTATCAGTCAGTTATGTGCCCTGCGTGATACACGCTTAAGCAATCATGTAATTTTGATACATGACTGACGAAGCAGAATTTTTTCCCGCAGTACCTTACCATTTCTTTCTGCGGTAGACCAGTTGTCATCCAAGACTATAGAACCCGGTCTGTCCTGTTATTTTACCCATATCTGGGGGAGAAGAAGAAGATCCATACCTTTCCCAAGGGTATTAGCACCTAAGTGAATGTAATGAATTCGACTGGAATTCGAACCCGGCTCTCCGATTCCTCGAATTAGAGAGCCGTGTAAACGTAGAGCCGTACCCTTACTAAAGATTTCGTGGAAAATGTTTAACAATTTCCCTGGAACGTACGATCACCAGATCTATCCTGTTGAACAAATTTCGGATAATCTAAATTGGCGCTTCAATCAACAACTTTTGCGACAGCAGGTGCAAGAGCCATGGGATAGTTTGTCGTATACCTTTGAGAGTACAGACTTGTGGTAATCCCCAATGATGATATACAGTGCACTTATTTTGAGAACTGTGAATTTATTGATCTCTATACAGTAGATGATCAATATTTACTGTAAACCTGCAATATTATCGTTATTTCTAATCTTGAAACATATTCAGGGTGTTTACATTTTAATTTTTTGCGCGTATATACAAGGTGTCTGTGTGTGGGAGGTTGTAAAGAGATATCAAAGAGAGAGAGAGAGAGAGAGAGAGAGAGAGAGTGTGTGTGTGTGTGTGTGTGTGTGTGTGTGTGTGTGTGTGTGTGTGTGTGTGTGTGTAGATTTAATCGTCTCCCACGACGACTAGATGTGACAGGTGGTTAATATTTAACGTGGGAACCCCACCCAATTTTTCTGTGGATACAAGCCGAAATTGCCTCGTCTAACCAGCTGTTGCCGCAGTCGTTGTGACATGCCTTTTAACCCGATTCCATTAGTGAAATGGGGAGGTGTAGTCTGGGAAACGGATCGCTGAGAACTAATAATCGGAGTATTTTTAGTCTGTCTTGCCTGAGGGCATGAATAATGACAAAGCACAAGAATTAAGTATGGTCAATAAAGAAAAATCGATGAATTTTAAGAAGGAATAAATTAAAACATTTAAAATTATTCGGGAAGGAGAAAAAGAAATAAATAAAGAAAATTTATAACAAAAACGAAAAAAAGAAAGGACAAAAAGAAAAAAAGAAAAAGAAGAAAAGCATATAAAAGAATACAAAAGAAAAAAATGAATGAAAGAAAGAATCAAAAAGAAAAAGTACACAAAATAGAATGAAAGAAAGAATGAAAAGAAAGACGGAATGAAAAAAGTCCACAGAAAGAAGGAAAGAAAAAAATTAAATAATGAAAAAGGAAAAAGAGAAAGAAATGAAAAAGAAAATATACACAAAAAGAGCGAAAGAAAGAATGAAAAAGAAAAAGTATACAAAAGAAAACGAAAGAAAGAATGAAAGAAAGAATGAAAATAGAAGAATTATAGAAAAGAGAACGAAAGAAAAAATGAAAGATTGAAAAAGAAAAGATAATGAAAGACAAAGTGAAAGAAAGAATGAAAAAGAAAAAGTATACAATAGAGAACGAAAGAAAGAAAAAAAGAATGAAAATTAAAAGTATACAATGGAGAACGAAAAAGAGAATGAAAAAGAAAGAAAAAAGAATGAATAAGAAAAAGTATACAATAGAGAACGAAAAAGAGAATGAAAAAAAGAAAGAAAGAATGAGTGAATGAACAAGAAAAAGTATACAAAGAGAACGAAAAAAAGAAAGAATGAATAAAAAAATACACAAAAGCGAAAAAGAGAATGAAAATTAAAAGTATAGAATAGAGAACGAAAAAGAGAAAGAAAGAATGAAAGAAAGAAAGAATGAATAAGAAAAAGTATGCAAAAGAGAACGTAAGAAAGAATAAAATAATAAAGTAGAAAGAAAAAGAAAGGAAGAACTCCATACAAAAGAGAGAGAGAGAGAGAGCAAGGATTTAGAAAGAAAGAAAGACACACAATGAGGAAGTGATAACCGGAAATAAATAAAAGTAAAAGAAAGAATGAAAAAGAAAAGAGAAAAAGAAAAGAAGAAGGCGCGAGTGAGAGAAAGAAGAAAGAATGAACGAAATAAAGAAAGAATAAATATTAAAAACAACGATAGAAAAAGAAAGAAGAATAAAATAAGGTTTTTGACAAAAATAGAAATTTTGTAACGAGCCGTTGTCATAACAACGTTCTGTTCCCGCTCCCATTTACTTATTATCGCTTGGTCGACCCGATCAAGGAAGCGGATCAAAAGTCGGGGTTTCCTGTGCCTATGTTTAACTGAGAGGCTGAGTAATGGGTGGGTGGAGCGACAGTCTCTTGTGCCTATTCGAGCGTAGAGAGCTCATGGCAGCCTCTATGGACCACTGCATCGCTTTGGCTATAGCTTCGTGCTATCGCGGCTTCCCCGACCTTAGAACATAAAATCCTGGCTTTATTAAACGATTCGAAGACATTCTATTCTGGTGACAAGAAAAATGCCAGAAAAGAGGTTGTTCTATCTTTGACTAGAACTTCTACGACAAAAGTAATCATAGAAAATCTTTGTTCATTTTAGAAAATGCTGGTTAATATTTGTGATTACTAGTACTCCTACTACTCGTATTAAGTAGATGTCGGATTGTCAAAGATTCAAAGGTTCACAATCCTACATCTCTTGAACAAAATAAGTAGCATGTAGCTCCAATACACACAATAATATATCTGTCATCTGCCTTCAGAGTAGCTTAGTATACAATATTCTGCAGGAAACACTCACCATGCAAATGGCAATTTTCTTTACTTTTTAATACATGAGGGATTAGAATCATATAAGCAACTTGTGTTTTTTTTTTCAATCACAGAAGCCTGCCATGCATGCATCAATGACAGAATTTGAGAGAGTTCGTCATAAGAAAAATAAACAAGGTCTTGCTAACCAGTTAGCAGTTCCATTTCTGGATCCATTCCAAAATCAGTTATCAGGAGGAATGTGGCACCATTTACCGAGGCAAAAAAGAAAAGAAAGGAAAGAGAGGAAGGAAAGAAAGGAAAAGAGAGGCGAGACCCAAAGCGTGGATGATAAGTAGGACACCCACAATGGATAAGGATATTTTGATAAGTAGCAAATGGCAAAACTGTCATTACAATGGCAGAAAAATTCTAAGTGGATAAAGGAATCGGGTGTGTTCTGGCGACGAGCTGTGTTATCGGGGATACATAAACAAACCGCTAATGCGGGAAAACATCTGATTAAGCAAACCACAGACCGACTAGCCAAAGAAAAAATCCAATTGAAAATGTTATTTTGATAATTCACACAAAACAGGTGAACTACAGGGCTTTGGATAGATATGAAAAATTAATTGTGTCAAAGCCGCACACGAGGTGGCGACTGACCGTTTTTCTTTGGCTGCGATAATAAAACTATGTTATCAGAAATGTGTACCAAAGAATGAATGGAACCATGGAAATGTTTTTTTGTTTATTTTCTCGAGGCGACGGACGATTGTGTTGTGTCAAATAGACCACCCATTCTGATAATTAGCGATAAGATGACTGACGAAGTCCAGGTGAGAACAAGAGTTATGACCACCACCAATCGCATTGTTCTATTTGCGGCCAGAGAAAATGAGAGCTGCGATTAAAATAAAGAAAAGGAAAAGAAAAAGATAATTTTTTTTTGTTAAACAAGATATTTTTTTCCTGAAACAAAGCCCGCGGGATCGCACAGGCTCGGCTAGACATCATTGGCCGAGTGGTGATCACGTGACGCAAGGAGGAAGCTGTCGCCGCCCATCTAGAGGATGGGTATGAGAGGTTGCTACGAAGAAGTGGGGAGGGCAGTTCACGCCCCTCTGAAGTATGGTGAGAAGGTGGGGGTTAGAGAAGGCTCCCAAAAATGGAAAAAAGTGGAAAATTCCTAACCAAAAATAAAAGAAGTGGATATGTATTTAGAATTATCGAGGAACCCCTGGCGCCGACAAACCCACCCCGGTTTTGGTCGGCGTCCATATAAGCAAGGTCGCAGCGAGCAGAAATCAGTTCCAGCAGAGAGTTCCAGCAGACAGTTCGAGTTCGAGTTCCTGAAGCAAGCCTCGCATATAGCTGACCAAGATTCGCGCAATTTCCGGTCTCATCTTCAATCCAAGAACAATTATTTTGAAGAGCGACTTAGATCCAGGCCACCAAAATAAGTTTTTTCGACTTTCGCCCTGAAGACACACCGAAAACCAATTTCTTAAAGAGCAAACAACTTGAAGTGTTAAAACTCGCATAACGGAAAACAACGTGTCACAATCCATAGAACGGGTCGGGAGATAGACGCAGTCCTATGTATCCAACAACTAGACATAATGTTTGTTATCCTTTTTTTTTGATACCTTGAAATTTTGAGTTATCATTTTATTTTTATTTTATGCATATTTGTGCGGTGTCACCCCGTTTGAACCCGATTTGCATTACGGCCCCAACTACTGATTGATTTCGTCTGCCTAAGATCAATTCACAACGTGGGTAGGCAGACTGGAGATCAATGCAGTTACTTTGGTAACCAGGCGTTGGAAGCGAGTTGGGAACGACGAGGCTGATATCGAATCTAACCAGATTCCCATCCGAATCACCAAAGGTTAGAACGTCACATTTGGGTGCCACGACCGATACCAAGCCAGTTGGTCGTCACAGGACGAGACAACACGACTGACGCGACAGGCGGACGTCACGTTTGGAGCGGCGACACCCGAACGAAGCAGCGAGGAGCGAGCGAAGGCTGTGTTTAGGGACGTCACAGGAACAATAACAGCCAGTTTCGACCCCTTTTCCTCTACTGCATTCTACTATGGCATGGGGCCCAAGATTGTGAAGGATTCTTTTGGATTGGTGCTAACTGGTCTTCCCGTTAATCAATTGTTCTCCAACCAACTGTCATCATCACGCTTTAACCAGATGAAGAGCGATGTTTTCCCAACGTCTCCTGAAGATCTGCTACCACGCTTTTTATCTCCTTGTTGTTGCAGCCAAATCGTCTTCTGAGCACATTGGCAACATCTTTTCCGATTATTACCATGGTACCCCACAGCGAGATGGTAGGATTTAATCTTCCTTCCACATTCTTCACATTTGTCTATCAGTTCTTCATATCTCTCAACTTTGCTTTGCCTGTTCCAAATTGTCATCTCAAGGAATGTCACTTCCAACAAGTACTTTTTTGTCATTTTCATTCCACAACACTAGGTCTGGCAGTTGGCTTGTTGATACAATAGGAAAGACAAGTACAGAAGAATTGAGGTCCGCTGCTATTTTCCATTCTCCTGACCACCTTTTATCCTCCATTATTTTCATTTGAGATCTTCTAGTGGTAGCCTTTCTGCCTTCTTTGTGAAACTGTACTTTAGTCATCACTTGCTTCGTAGGTCCCTTTCCTTCATTGATTTCATCAATCTTCCTGAAGGAAAGGTAAAATATCTTCAAGATTTGATTATGTCTCCACGTGTATCTTTCTATTAATAGGCAATCAGAAAGTTTGCGCTTTAGAGTACTATGTTCATCGCACTTACACTTGGAGTTATCTGAAACTTTCCAACGAATAAGATTTATTGGGGATGGCAACATGTCATAGATAGACTTAATCAGGAAACCCAAAGGAGCAGGTTTCCATGACCAGAGCTCCTTCCAGCTTCTATCCGACGTTCCTATCAACTTCTCTACCCATCTTAAACACTGTCCTTGATGACTACATTGTACCAAGTGAATGTATCTCTTTACCTGCTCCACCCACCTGGTTTCTCTTACCACGGCAAGTATTTTTTCTGCACGTTGGTAACATTGCAAAATAATGCGAACTTTCTAGTGCCTAAAACACTTTTGAGAGTTTGTCCTAAACATTATGAAAGCTACATGTAGGGAAGTGTTTATGAATTAAATTGCTAATATTTTCCTCGCGTTTTAAGAAAGTAGAAAAGTATTAATATTTGAAGACTCCGGTTTCGTGGCTTCATCGTCAAGGAGAGTTATATTAAATCAGTGCTGCTTATTTAATAATCGTAAAATGGCGACCAGGGATTAAAAATAATAACAATGGTTAAAATGAAAAATAATTAATAAATGTTAGGAAAACATTATTAAAAACGAACAAAGGTCCGTCTTCGAAACTTTAACAGCATAAAAAATCTTCTTTATCAACCTGTTTAATAGAGAGATGTATCTCCGAATGATATTATTTACATTAAGACTAATCTCATTATTTACACCAGGGGTCGGCAACCTTTTGTTAACTATGCGCTGTCTTAGGGTATTAAAATCATTCAGTGTACTAACAGCATAAGTATTTTTTATACAAGTCAAGGTCAATATACCTATTGATGCCTGGAGTGAAATTGAGTTCCAATAGACCTTCAATGGAAGGAGCCTGTCTACTTGGTGAAGATGAAACTTCACTCCCTTAGTTTCGGAGGCATTTGCGTTTATAAGGCACTATTCGACATCGTTTGATCGTCGAAGCTGTCCATGGCCGAGACGGTCTAAAACAGGAGCCAGCAAACTTTTGCTAACTATGTATTTTATATAGTAATATATAGTATATATACTTTAGTGTATATTAAAATTGAAAGAGTTAATGTCTATATTTCTGAGATGAGGTATTATTTACACTATTTACATTATTCGGACTACTGTCCTCATCTTGCTCGCCATATTTATTACGACGTTTCGGCCGTTGTACGCTCCGGCCTTCTTCAGGTGGTTGGAATATCGAACGTAACTCTTTATTTCGCTAACTGGGGTAGACTGTCCTCAAGGACACGTGGCACAGTGGATAAAGGCGTTAGTTAGATCCAGTGACAGGACCCAAATAGTGTGAGTTCAATACCCGGTTAAGGCAGTGGAGAACTTTCAGAGTGAAATTGACAGGAGATAACGGATAACTTAATTAAATGTGGCACGTGGAACTAGAACTAGGGCCGGAGCGTACAATGGCCGAAACGTTGTAATGAATATGGCGACAAAGATGAGGACAATAGTCCGAATAATGTAAATAATGAAGCAGTTAAATGTCTTCTTTGCGTTATAGTAATTATTGGTTCTGACTTTGTGATGTCATTTGTTGTTGCGTGCCATTGGAAATTGCTTGGCGTGCCACAGGTTACTGGCACCTGTCTATTATGCGGACTCTGTTGTCATCATATTTATTAACATATTCATGACGCTTCAGACGTTCTACGATCCAGCCTTCTTCTGGTGATAATATCTGGAATTTCGAACTGGAAACTTTATTTACACAACGGGGGTAGATTATTCTAATTCCACGTGACATGCCTTTAAATATCTCAGCTTCAGTTAATTCCCCTTGGCACCTCTCCAAATTTTTGTTCACCTCTGTGGAAAATTTCTTCACAGATAAAGATAAGTCTCAAGGCAAAGAATGTGGTTCTACAGAAGGTTGATGAGAATAATATGCACGGGCAACGAAGACGCCTTAAGGAAAATGGAAACAAAGAGACACTTATACATTAAAAAAATATGAAATTTCTTGGACAGATAATGAGGATTGAACGGCTTGGAGAATTTGAGAAACACATCGATGGCAAAAGGAGCATAAAGAGGCGGCGGGCCACCCTACCTAACCAGCACGGGTTATAGGAGCGATGGCAAAACGACAGACATTACTACAAAGGATAGGAAGTTGGAGAGAGCCATGGTTGCCCTCGTCCTGAAGGGATTTGGTACATAGAAGAAAAAGGAAAGGTTCTTGGCGTCGTTAAAGACAATTAATATTGATATGCCTGATGATAAGCGAAAAGATTAGAGGCAGAAATCATAAAGCAAGTAAATAAAAGGGATTTGTGATTATCGCTGTCTTGAAAAGATGAAAATAAAACTGAAGAGAGTGTGAAGACAAATATGTGGACATTGCTAAAGAAGTGTAGTCTACTTAACATTATTAGTGCGTGGAAAGTGACCTGAACTGAAAGAAATAAAGAAACAAACTCACAAATAAATCTACAAGCAAACAAAGAAAAAGAAAGAAAGAAACGAAGAAAAGAATATCAATTTTTGCATTTCTTTCCGCTTCTGCAAAATAAACTTGGTCTGAAAAAACCCAAACAGTTAAACAAATGAAAGACTCACAATTCTTTGTAAAGGAACCGACTCTAAATATTCTGCCAGTCCGTGTGAAAATTGCACTGATCAGAGCCGTATGATTGGTCCGTTGCATTTATTAAAGGGGAAAAACTCTTTTCTCATTGGATCATGTTATATTTGTCCTTATTTATTTTCGTTATGCCATTTCACGATGAAAAAAAAAACGATTATCAGGAAATATCATAAAGCTTAAGTTCTTGGATTTCAGCGTAGTGTCATTTTGATACTTATTTTTCATTCTTCTTTCTTTTTTTCTTTCTTTCATTTCCTTTTTATTTCCATCTTTTTCTTCTTAAGAACTTTCTTGTTATTTACGTTCTTAGTATTTTTCTCTCTATTATTCCTTCTAAACTGACTTCCGGTTTTGTTTTATTTCGTTCTTTTTCTCTCACCACACCCTTCACATTCGTTAGTTCGTTTTTCGTTGCTTCTTTTACTTTTTTTCTTACATTTTATACTTATGTCTTTCACAGCATTTTTTAGAGACGTGGGGGGGATTATTGTTTAATTTTTTTTTTTTTTTTGTCTATTTCAATCGTTTCTTTGGACCACAAAGCCCCTATCTTTTTTTCTTTATTTGATTCTTCCTTTATTTCGTTCCAAATTCACTCGTTCATTCTTTGAACCACAAATCCCATATCTGTTTTTGTTTCGTTTTATCGTTCTTTCTTTATTTCATTCCTAATTCATTCTTTCTTTCTTCGGAATAGAAATGCCACCATCTATTTTTGTTTCTTTATTTCATTCCATCCTTAATTCATTCTTAATTCGTTATTTCTAACTTTGAAACACAAAAACCTCTTCGTATTCTTGTTTCTTTATTTCATTCTTTCTTTATTTCATTCCTAATTTATTCATTCTTTAATTGGACCACAAATGCCCGTATCTATTTTTGTTTCTTTCTTTCTTTCTTTTTTTTTTTTCGTTCCTAATTTATTCTTTCTTTGGTCCACAAATGTAAATATCTATTTGTGTTTCTTTATTTCTTTCCTAAATCATTCTTTCTTTCTTTGGACCACAAAAGCCACTATCTATTTTTGTTGTTTTTTTTGTTTTTTTTATTTAATTTTTTCTTTATTTCATTCCTACTTTTTTCTTTCTATGTTTGAACCACAAAAAAGCCTCTATATATTCTTGTTTCTTTATTTCACTCTTTCGTTCCTAATTCATTCTTTGAACCACAAATGCCCCTATCTATTTTTGTTTCTTTATATCATTCATTCTTTCTGTCTTTGGAACACGGAATCCATCTCTCTATATTTATTTTTTAAAAAACCAAGTTTGTCTCTTCTATTACATTCGCCTTCTCAACTATCATCAAACTAGTCTCCAAGCACTGTTCATTAAAACACAAAGGAATTTTCTCTCTCTCTCTCTCTCTCTTTCTCTCTCTCTTTCTTTCTCTCTCTCAATCTCTCTTTCAAATAATAACTCTCTTTCTTTTACTCTTTTTTAAATATTCTATTTTTATTTCTCTTTCTCTTTCTTTCTCGCCCAATTCTTTCTCTTTCATTCTGCTAACAAAAAATTTTACATTCCCCCCTTATCCCTCTCTACTCTCTTTCTCTTTCTCACTGTCTGCCGTTTCCTTAATCTTTCACGAATTTTCCATTCTTCATCCCCATCAGTTCGCCAACCATTTTCTTCTTTACGCCTACCTCTCTGTAAAACCGGATATATATATAGCAACTTCTCCCACTCTCGCTGGGCGCCACTGTCAGAATTTGTGTAACAACCAACGAAGTTAGGAGGCCCAGCGGCATTCTGCTTTTGTGTTGCCCGCCTCGCAACTTCCGTTCTGCTTACTGGACGACCGGATATGGAAACAGTGTATGCGCGCGCATTGAGAGAAATGGACGACCATCGAATACATGAGTTCACTTTGCGACCAAATGTAATATATGGGAGCCCAGTTTGGACAAAAAACTTTCCATTTTCAGCATTTTCTTTTTTTTTTTTTCTTTTTTGCTTATGTTAATATTTCACTGGTAAAAAATAATTTTCAATACCTCATTATTTTTCAAAGTAATATTTTTCGCTCCTGTTCCCGCTTATCGCTATTTTGTTCGTGTGGACATGTTTATTCTGTATATGAGGGCTCTATTTATATATCGAGTGACAAGTCTCCTTAGTACAGGAGAACTGTTCATAGCATCTTATCTGAGTTGAATAACTCCTTCGTTTTGATGGTCTATATTATCTCAGTTTTCCAATTTTTCCTTTTTTTTTTTTTTTTTGAAAGCCTCTTCGGGGATGATCTAAGCGCAACAGTGAAACTTACATTTTTGTTCCATTTTTTGGTGGGGGACAGATATCTTTTCTAACCTCTCCTTTTGGTTCAATTTTATTTTGTAGTCTGTAAGAATTACGACGTCTAAGAACTGACTAATCTTTTTTTTTTCCCTGTGTGTTTACGATAATTAGACATTATCCTTAATTTTAAATTACGTGATCTATTCAAGTTTGAAAATCTGGTACACTTACATTTTTTTGTGTTCTCTGGGACAGATTAAGACGAGCGTTTATACTATTGGTTTGCAGCAGCAAATCCAAATGTTTGCACAATTCTCGGGTGAAAATTTTTCCCAACCACTCATGTCTATCTTAATTACAATTACACATTTTTTTCTTATTTTTATTTTGTTTCTTTTGATTTCTGGTGTATACACATTTCTAACCGGATCGCAACCAGAGACCTATGGTGAGAAACGTCATCATGACATTATCGATTGAGCATTTTTTACCCCCCCCACTTCCGACCAGATAAAAATTAAGATCACACAGATCTTCGTAAGGTGTTGGTTGTACTTGTGAGTATATTTGTTTTGTATTTTTTAATGCATGGACTACAAGGAATCATTTTAATGAGCCTATCAAGACCGTTTCCAATCAATCCGAGAGCTCCAAATACAACTGGGATTACTGATGTCTTCATGTGCCACATTTTTGAGATTTCGATTTCAAGCTCCTTGTATTTTGTTGTTGTTATTATTATTATTATTATTATTATTATTATTATTATTATTATTATGTGTGTGTGTTTTGTTTCCTGCTTTGTGTCCTGCAGAACGTGGTCCAAAATATGGTCCTTAAACCCTATAAGAGAATTGTCATTTTCCGAGTAGGGCGATCTTCTGGGCATCTTCTATGTTGATGTTATTTGGGACACTGTTATTAAAATTGTCCATTCCTTTTCTCACGTGACCCAGAGCTCCGATTACTATTGGTACGGCCTTAGTCTTCATTCCCCACATCCTGTTAATCTCGATCTCCAGGTCCTTGTATTTTGGACAATTTCTCGATAATTTTCATGGAGGTGTTTCTCTCAGATGTTACGGCTATGTCAATAAGCATACACTTCATGAGTTTTTTGGCTTTTATGATAACATCTGGTTTGTTGTCTGTTATTTCCCAGTCGCTTTGAATTGGCATGTCCCAGTTACATCATTATTTTGGGTAACTTCGTTTGGTTGATGCTCATACCATCTCTCAGTGGTTTCCATTTTGGAATTCTTCTCTATCTTATTATTATTATTATTATTATTATTATTATTATTATTATTGAGTGAGAGTGCATCATGCCAACAAAGTGATGATGAGGTGGAAATATGCAAAGTTCAATATATCCATCATGACATCTAGTCTGATATGTGTATAACAGGCACATGTACCACAGGTAAATATGCCCGATCTGGGGACAAATATTGATAAAAGTAATATTGCAGGTGAAGCCGGGGTTAGAAATAATTTCAGGTTGGCTAACATAGTCCGCTGAACGTTCTCCGAATAAAAGTATCCCCTAATATCTAGATATGATTTCCAAGTCATCTTGGCTGCTTCGTCCTTCAAACATAAATGACCCCCCCCCACCATGGAACTGACAGTACGTTAACCCTTAGACCTTTAGGGGACATAGTTAAATGTTTGAAGTCAAGCGACTGACAAGCAAATCTATGCTACTAAACGAGATTTTGATTAGAACACACGTTAATTCACCCAAGGAAAACATATATACGTTAACACAATCAATTAAGATCAGAGCGTATGACAGTCATGGCTGGTGTAGCCTCAGGGCATTTAATAATAATAATAATAATAATATACAAAATGATTGACGTAACTCTTACAATAATTTGCAACATAATTTTCCAAATCGTCTTAAGGGCTTTGGCAACTATTTGGAAAAAAAGGAGTGGGATGTACTTGGGAGTGCAATTGTTTGTATTTCTTTAAAGCATAGGTTACCAGGCGCCATATTTTTTAGATTTTGATAGTTTCTTGAAGATCTTCAAAGATACATTGCAGTCTGTAGGCACTGCCATGTAGGCACATTTTGTCTTTGCAGTCTCTAATCGCTATGTCAGGGAATTACCTTTGATTGTTCTGTCTTTGTGTATTGTAAAGTCCCATAAAATTGATACAAGTCCTATCTCCTTAACCGAGTCTGTGTAGTGTTCATACCAATTTCTTGCTGTTTCCTTTCCATAAAAGTTGCAGATTTTCCAATACAGGTATTGGCCTACTCTGTCATGTCGGATTTTATATTCAGAGAGTTCCAATACCACGCAACCCGATACAAGATGGTCAACTGTGTCTGGATATCGCAGAATCTGCATTTGGGGCTAACACAATTTTTCAGTATATGTGGTTGGTAATATCTAGTTAACAAGCATTAGTTTGTGCATCAAGAATAAAACCTTCATTTTCAACTTTTAACCCTACACTCCGTAGCCACCGATGGGCACGGGGTTTGTCTACATCAGTTTGTTTGATACGGGCAGAGTAATGACCGTGAAGCGGTTTATTTTACCATCGTTTCTGTATCTGGTCGGATGCATTTTCCTTTGCTTTCTTTTTTTTAAAGTATTTTGCAGCTTCAGTCGGTGTATTATACTGTATTTGTATTTCTTCATCCATTTGAAACTCCATTTTGAACTTGTTGGCTTCCTTTATTACTGAATAAAGTCACTTGCTACTTTCATGTTCTTTGACACAGATCATCATCTTATGTAGTTGACTGGTATCTTTGAAGGCCAATAGTTGTAAGTCAGTTCAAGTTGAACTAATCCTCTGCCTCCTTCAGATCTGGGCACATACAGAGAATCAACATTGGCCTAGGGATGATGCATGCGGTGTTCAAGTGAGAAGCTTTCTCGTTTTGGCGTCTATTCGCTTAATGTCAGCTATGGTCCAATTAAGGATGTTAAAACTGTATTGCAACACAGGAACAGCCAAGGTGTTTATGGCTGATATTCTGTTTATTAAATTCAGTTCTGTATTCACTACTAGACGCTCTTGCCTGTAGTATTGCTTTCTTAATTTCTCCTTCATTTGGATATGCTGTATTCCATGTCCTTCCCTAATTCTTAGGTACCTATAGGCTTCTTTTTGTTCCAGTTCCCTAAACCCTGGGACAAAATCTATTGAGGATGTTTCTGTAATTCTTCCTTTGCTGAATGTTACTTTTGCACATTTATCTAATC